TCAGTCCTTCCACAGTCTCTCTTAGGGCTAGTGTGTTCTTCACATGGTAACTGGATTTCTACCCCATTCTTGAGGCCCGTGTCTCTCCCTAGGCTGCTGCCCACTTCCCAGCTTTCTGCCCCTGCCCTGGTAACCTGCAGCATCCTTAAGGCCCCTCCAAGGAGGTAGGCCTAATTTTCCTCTGACCAAGCTGCCTCTGGCTAGTGGAGCCATGCCCTGACTCTAGCCTGGTAACTCCATCTCAGCCTCCTGTGAATAGGCTGCCCTGATGCCTGCAGACTGCCTGGACTTCCCAGTGGAAGCACTGGCTGGAAGGCTTGGAGGATAAGGAACGGGGAGAAAGGCACGCCCCTCTGACTTCCTAGGAGGAAAGTGGTGATTGCTAAAAACATGATTATAGTGGTGAATGAAGTCGGGTCTGTAAATTGAAAAGACTTCAGTTAGAGTCCTGTTTATTCCATCACAGTGGAAATACTGCAAAGTTTTTGTCCAGATTGAAAATTAAAACAAAATCTGGGTGAGTGAAGACTGACTTGCAGGGTTCTAGTCCTGGCTCCACTGCCAATGAGGAGTATAATATCTCTAAGCTCCGGTTTCCTTTCTGTGGAATGGGGATACAAGCAGTATTTACTGCCTAGGTTTTGGTAAAGGTTTCTAAAAAATGCTTATAGTGCTTGGCACATCATAGATGCTTAATAAAGGTTAGCTGTTATTACTACTATTATTCATGAAGGCACTACCACTACTGGGCTCAAGAGATCAGTGTCCTGCTCTAAGTGTTTGAGACTTTATTGCCTACGTTTCTGAGTATTACCCAGCCAGGATCCCTACTGTGGCTCCGCTCACCTATCAAGACTTTTGTTCTGTCATTGAAACACCTGGTGCCTGATTATTAGTGTGGCCTGGGCCTGGAGATGGCTACGGCTTTTGGACAAGGTACTTGCCCTCCAGAGGACCCTCCACTGTCCCCTGATCCCAGCTCACTCCCTGAGCCTCAGCCTCAGGTCAGGTCCTGGGCCTTCTTGTCTGCTCCTCTAACTCTGAGTAAGAAGCTCTGCCCAGTCGATTCTTGAGTTGATAGATTCTGAATTCATTTGCCTTACTTGGGTCTTTTTGCAGGCAGTCTTACCCGCTTTTTGATATGAGCAATTTCTAGCAGAACGTCTGGAAATGATCAGCTGTTGTGTGAATTCAAACAAATCTGTTCAAAATCAGTGTCCTTAGCAGGCATCTGTCTGAAGCCTGTTCAAGCTGCACAGGGAAGGCTGATTAGTCCTCAGTTTCCTGAGTGTCTTCTGTAAAAGGTGTATTCTCCAGTTCTGACCTCCCTTCCTACTCTCTGCATTTTAGGCCATTTATTGTCCAATGATACTTGTTCCTCCAGGTGAGAAGGAAAAGGAAGGAGGGAGAAGAGCCTTCGCTCAAGCACTAAGGCTTGGATGTTAGGCGTGAAATGGACAGACAGTGTTTCCCTGCAGAAGGTGGAGCTGACAGGATCTCCTAGTGCACTAGATTTGAAGGGTGAGGGAAAGGGGATGATCGAAGTTTGTGGCTTAGGCAATTGGGTGGAGAGTAGTGGCAATCTAAGACTTGGGGAAAACAGATTTGGGGCAGAAAATTAAGAGCTCTGGTTTGGCTTTGTTAAGTTAGATTTCGAGTCAATTGAATCTGGAGCACAGTACTAAATACATAACTATGAGGGTTACCAGCTTTTGTAAAATGAAGATGATGTCTTCCTACTATTAGGGTAAAACAAGACAACTTATTTAAAATGCTTGGCATCATGTGGGCATTTAACAAATGGAAACATTATTAGGCAGAAGGGAAAGTTCTGATAAGTTCTCCTTACACCTTGCAGCATAAACAGTGAAAGAATCAGAGGCAAACGGTTCCAAATTATCTAAAGTTAGTCTCCTCCGGTGTCTGTTTCAGCCTCCTGAACCCTCTGCCTTTTGTCTCTCAGCTCAGTGAAATATTAGGAGATGATTTCCTTAAGAATACCAAGCAAATTTTCTCTTTCTTTTTCCATGTTAATATTTAGTTCATTCTGAATGTTGGCACCTTATGGAAACACATCTGATGGCTTGCAATGGGGGTCCCTAAGTGCTACAGGTTTGGAAGGATCTCAATAAAATAATTACAAAAATGCCTACCATCTATCATGTTCTAGAACAAAATCAGACACATTACATCTACAAGTTCATGTTTACTATAAGGTAGGTATAATTATGATTTTCATCTTGTAGCAAAAGAAATCCAGGCTCAGAGAGGTTAAATGCCTTGCTCAAGGTCAAAGGATAGTCGGTGGGGGATCTGAGACTTAATCACAAGACTATTGAACTTTACAGCTTGTTGTGCAATGTAGTCTGGAGAAGATATTCCTGAGTCCCCTACATGCAGATTTGCATTCTTTAATTGTTTGACAATGTTATATGCCAATGGCATTTCTACACCTGTTCGTCCATTCATCCACTCATTCACCTAACAAATATTTACTGAGAGCCTAGAAGTATGGCTGGATAGGATACAGTAGTGAACAAGATAGATGAGGTTCCTGCCCTCAGTGATGGTGGTAGAGATAAACAATGAACAAGGGAACAAATCCAATAATTTAGGGCTGTGATACTAGCGTAAGTTGTAACCTCAACTGATATTTAAGACCTGGAAGACTTGAAACACACTGTAAAGTCAAGGTGTACCAGATGCATCCACCATCCATTCACCAATGACTTTTCTCAGCTGTAGGAGAAAGCCATGCTCATCAGAGGTAAAACGTCTTCTTTCATTACTCTGTGGCTGAGAAGAATGAGTCACATCTTGATTAGCCATCTTAAAAGCAGCCACCAAACATTCCTGCCAGTGGGGTGGAAAGAACGTTGGACTAAGGGTATCAGGTAACAAAGGATCTTGTCATACTTTTGGCCTTAACTAACTGTGTGACCTTGGCCACGTTTCCCAACACTCCCGTTGATACATCTGAAAAGAACAAGCTTTTGTATGACTGTTTACAGTTAACAAAGAGCTTTTATCAGACACAGTCTTATCTCTTCCTTCTAGTAACACTGTGAATTAAATAGATGGGGATGACTTTTAAAATCTTCATTTCTAGGATGAGAAACTGAGGCCTGAAAGGCAGAGACAGCTCTTGAATCCAAGTTTGGGACTTGAAGCCTGGCACTCTTCCCATAGCAGCAACTGCCCCTCAATGTTTCTGGGGCAGAAATTCACCACATATTCTCCATCCTAGTTGTTGGTTGCATGCCTTCCCCTCCCATCACATAAGCTATGTCTTACTTGTCTCTCCAATAGTGTATGGGACCCAGTAAGTGCTGGCATTAAGCAAATGAAATGAAATAAAATGAGAGTGAGTTTTGAGATGAATAAGCTACTTATGAATATAAGGGAGGACTGCCACTAATTTTGTTGTTGGTTACTGTGGCAGAGAGGAAGAGATGTCCATCAGAGATCTGAGCAGTGTAAGCTGCTGCCCAGTGAGGGACCACACTCCCCAGCCCCCTCTGCATTAAGGTGGGGCCATGGGACCAGCTCCCATTAATGGAATATGGGCAGAAGTGCTATTTTATTTCTGAGCTGACAAGGATAAGTAAGGAGCATGCCTTCCTAGTAGTTCGTTTTCCTACCCATCAGCTGAACAGGGTGGAAGGAGCCTGGGTCCCTGATCCACCCCCAGCAACCAGCCTTCCAACCGAGAACAACTGTACTGGATTGTGACATGAGTGGGAAATAAACTTCCAGTGCGCTAAGATTTGGAGAGTTATTCATTACAGCAGCTAGTGTTGTCTTAGCCAGTCATGAATCATTATTTGTCCTGATCTCAGTGATCTTTGGAATGTAAGACAGAGCCAGGTAACAGCTGGAAAGAAAGCAGGGTGTTTTCTTTCTTAAAAGAAAAAAATCTACTGAAATGGTTGCTCAAGTAATTTGAGAGAAGCCTTAGAAGTCTAGTGGATAAAAGTCAAGAGAAGGAAGAACAGTGCTTTCCCAACATGCTGCCATCTCGTCTGGAGCTGTGTCTATGAGCAAAGTGATAGTGAAAGTGCTCAACAAACTCGCTGCTAAAGGACACAGCTGTGGGAACACAGACAAGGACAGGAGAGGATTTTGTACCTGACATCATCTTTATACCCCTCCACCTACAATAGCACCCCTTCCCCACAACACATACACCAAAGGAATCGCTGGGATCTCTTCCACCCATAACCACTGGGTTTTTAATAGCCCTTTTAGGGACCACATTATCTTCCCTCAAAAAAAATAATAAAGTTACATAACTTTATTATTGGTTATTGTTCCTTCATCCTTTCTCATTTCCTCCTCTCCATTCTTTAATGACAATACTTTAAAATAAAATGGACTTCTTACATTGTTTGTATTTAAAGATGGCCCTACTGGTTGATGGAACTCTATGGATCAGACCTTGGGAATTGGAGGGTCATCAGCTCCAAATGTACCAAAGAAATAGATTAAATATATAGATAGATTAAAGGAATAGATTAAATATACAAAATAGAATAAAGCTTTATATATATATATATATATATTTTCCAAAATGTAGTTAGCTTCTCTGGATCTATAATCCTGGGTGTCATGATATGCTGATAAAATGGTCTTCCTAGCATGCTGATAGGGCAGGAGGCAGTTCACCAGTCAGAGGAGGAGGCCATGCCCCCAGCCATACACAGGTAAGAGCTGTAAAATGGGGATCATAATCATACCTGCTTCATGGGATCCCTGAGAGAATGAAGTGAGCTAATGGGTATCCGGGAGGGACTTCCAGACGCCAGGGCTGGCACCTAGCAGGAGCTCATGAAATAGGAGCTAGTGTTAGAATATTTTAATACCGAGTAGTCACAGCTCAACCCTTGTTGACCTACCTCATCAAAGTTGGCTCTTATTACAGTGTCCAGTATTCTCTGACAGTGTGTTCTGTACATCATAATAAAGGTAGAAACCTGTGAGGGTGGGTGGAGGATCAACAACAAAAACATACATTAATACACATTGCTGCTGCCCTTGGACTTGCAGAGTTTAAGTCATTTCTTCCCTACAGTGGGGATGGAATTCACCTAACACCTACTCAACCTACTAAACCCAGGTGAGACTGATTTTCATTAGGTGGTATTCTCTGACCCTTGGCTCCCTCCTCTGTGCTCGCAGAGCACAAGAGTGTTTCTCCCCAAGATACAGAACCCACTGGTTTCTCCCTCTGCCCCCATTTTCCACCCCCTGAGACTGTGAGCTCTAGGAAATAAAAATGGTATCTTACTCATGCTCATGTATCCAGCACCTAGCACAGTGCCTGGCACACAGAGCTAAGCAGGGCTTATAGAACTAAATTCTCTTCACTGGCTAAGATCACTAAAAAGTTAAAATCCAAGGTACATTTATAAGAAGAAGTGATTCTGCCTAAGTCATCATAAGACATTTGGAAATTCTCTGCAATGTGCTTAGCCAAAAAAAAAAAAAAATAATCTCCCCCTCCATTTATCCAGTAATTTTTATGATTTTTTAAAAAAATTATCTGAGAATTTTAAATCCATGGTGCAGGAAGTTCATGTGTTTATTGACAAAAAAAAGCAAATTTAAGAAAAAAATATTTATCGAGTTCTTAGGTTTAACATATCTTTTACAGATACAAGTTCATTTCCTTCATTTCAGAACATAGACACGCATTTTATGTAAATTTAAGTTGACTTATACAAGCATCTGTCTCCCTGCTTGACTCTAAGTTTCCTAAAAGCAGGACTCATCTCATTCTGCACTGCATCCCAGATCCCTGTGTGACATGGAGACTTTGTAGAAGCTCATACATGTTAGAGCAACACTGGGTTGCATCAGTGGGTACATTAAATATGTGATAACTCAGCCGGGCGCAGTGACTCACACCTGTAATCCTAGCACTTTGGGATGCTGAGGTAGACAGATCACAAGGTCAAGAGATCGAGACCATCCTGGTCAACATGGTGAAACCCCGTCTCTACTAAAAATACAAATTAGCTGGGCATGGTGTCACACACTTGTAGTCTCAGCTACTCGGGAGGCTGAAGCAGGAGAATTGCCTGAATCTGGAAGGTGGAGACTGCTATGAGCCGAGATCGTGCCACTGCACTCCAGCCTGGTGATAGAGTGAGACTCCATGGGAAACTTCCCCAAATTTGTTTTTCCAGTAACTTGCTCCAAATATTCTATGATCAAAACTGTCAGATTCATTAGACCTATAAAATCTTCTTTGACTATTAGACTATGATTTCACCAACTCCCCTGCAGCACAAGGGAAAATGAACTTTATTCTGTGGGAAAGCAATTCAGCGGAGGGGTTCTTTCCTCATGAAATGAGACAGCATAATATCATAGGAAAAGTATGTAGGTAGACAGACAGAAGATAGATGATGGTAGATAGGCACACAGGGATACATGATAGAGTAAATTTTATTTTAAAATAGTTTTGGATTTACAGAAAAGTTGTAAAGATAGTATTTAGGAGTTCCCATATGCCTCACCCCTATTGTAAACATCTTGCATTACTAGGGTATATTTGTCACAACTAATAAACTGATAGCGATAAATTATTATTAAGTATAATCCATGCTTTATTTGGATTTCTTTTCCTTCTTTTCTTTTTTATTTTTGAGGTGGAGTTTTGCTTTTGTTGCCCAGGCTGGAGTACACTGGCATGATCGTGGCTCACTGCAACTTCCACCTGCCTGGTTCAAGCAATTCTCCTGCTTCAGCCTCCAGCTGGGATTACAGAAATTATTACTGACTCCATGCCCAGCTAATTTTTTGTATTTTTAGTACAGACAGGGTTTCACCATGTTGGGCAGGCTGGTCTCAAACTCCTGACCTCAAGTGATCCACCTGCCTTGCCCTCCCAAAGTGCTGAGATTACAGGCATGAGCCACCATGCCTTGCCTGGACTCCTATCTTTATATTTTTAAACTCGCTGTTTTGCAATAAAAGTGTGTGTGTGCATGTGTGTGTGTGTGAGAGAGAGAGAGAGAGAGAAAGAGAGAGAGAGAGAGAGAAACCACCCACCCCAAACAGTCACTTCAGGTGTGGTTGGTTACCTTCTCCTCAGGCAGGCTGGCTGGCAGATTTAGATCTTTGACATTGGGAAATTCTGGCAACAGTGTTCCGAGTTTGGACCGGGGTGAATATGCCACTGTCTGTTTGCTCACTTCTTTCTTGCCCGTCTCACTCACCCAGGCGGCTCCTTTCTTGGAATACATCACATCATAATATTGGGAGCTTTCTTTCACTGCAATGCCATAGTAATGGTACCTGGGCCATAAGGAGAGAGAGAGAAAGAGAGAGACCCACATGTACTATCATTAAGTGAGGTTCCCTGAGTTGGGAGGGTTGCCCAAGGCCAAGGAAAGCTGGGGCCATCCTACCTGGGGATAGAAGAGTTAACTTTCCTGTAGGGCTAATATCTCTGAAATACAGAATTAAACCAAAGTTCCACATTACCAGCCGTCAATCAGGCAGGCAAAAATAACCAAAATTGCCTCCTACAGAAAATGTTAAGTCAAATACTTTGCAAAGCAGAGAGGAGATGAAAAATTTTCCATTAGTACTTGATTTCTGATGTCTAGCCAAATGGGATCCCGGCACCTGAATGTCCCTTCTCTGTGGGGACCAAGCAGGATATGTTTGTGACTACTAACTGCACCTCCAACAAAAATTCATTTGGCCCATGTTTTTCTTAATCAATACATGGGAGTCTCATAGAACTGTAGTTTTAAAAAGGTAAATTCAGTGCTTCAGTTGACACTGATGTAAAATGAAGACCAGAACTTTTTATTAACTCAAAATGGGTTTAATATTAGCAATGTTTTTAATTAAGACTAATAAGGGATTGGAGGTTGCATTTTGTTTAGACTTTAGCTATAATCTATTGAGCACTTGCTATATGCCAGGTACTTTGCAAAGGACTTACATGCATTAATTTGAAAAATAACCAAAAATGGAAATTACTACAGTCTTTCTACACATGAGAAAATGGAGGCAAGAAAGCTCAAATAATTTAAGGTCCTATAGCTGTTTTAGGGGAAGAACAAGTTCTTGAACACAGGTCCTTTTGACTACAAAGCCACAATGTTATCCTCCTGAAAACACTGCAAGGTGGTCTTATCAACTTTGATTTTATCAGAATAATTTATAAAATTTAATAAGAATACAGATTCCTGGGGCCTCTCTCAGGACCTACTGATTCAGAACATCTAGGAATAGGGCCCAAGAATCAGCAATGAATCAAGCACCGCAGGGGTAATTCTAAAGCACATCAGTTTGAAATCTCTGGTACTCAGTGCTTGACACATATTATCTTACTTAATCTCACAAAATCCCCATAAGCCTGGAATTAATTATTATCCCCATTTTATAGATAAGGAAACTAAGACTCAGGGAATTTAAGTCACACACCCAAGATCATCCAGTGAGTAAGTAGCAGAGGCAAGATTTAAACCTCCCAAGTGCTTTGAGCCACTAAGCCAGTGATTCTCAAACTTTACTACTACAAATAATCACCTACAAAACATATTAAAATATACCTGCTAATCTAATGGCTATGAATAAAAGAAGAAGGAAAAAAACATTAGAGACTCCTGGGCCCTGCCCACCCTTACAGATTCCTATTTAGTTGGTCTAGAGTAGATTTTCACAGTCCCACAGGCAATACAAATGTTCAGTCACCCATGGACCTTGCTTTCAGGAACACTGCACAACATATTAACTACTTTTCTTTACCCATGGAGATATGATGAAAGTCACAAAATATTACAGATGAGAAAGCATTTTGAGTTATGGGAAGGGCTTTCTCAAGGAGGGAAGAGATAAGCACGTCAAAACCTTCCCTCTCCCCAACCCCTTTTACTCCTGATACCATTCTGTGATACTGCTGCTTAGTGGGCATCGCGAATCTATCTGAATGCCTTCTGGGATGAAGAGTTCAGACCCTCCGAAGGCAGCCCAGTTCATTTTGCCAGTATGGTTATCAGAAAATTCTTCTTTGTGCTGAGCTAAGTCTGCTTTCTGTACCTTCCCTGTCTTCTACTACTTCCCAACTGTCGTAACTGCCTTTCCACCAGGAAGTCACTTTGTGGGTGGGGGAGGGTGCTGGTTCCGGTGGCTTCAGGTGGGATGACAGTTATGACACACCTCCCTAACCTTAAAAAGTTCACCTTTATAACTTCTTAAGAGCTGGATCGTCTAATATGTTCAGACCAGACCACTTCTTGACTATTCAGACCTCACGTAGCTAAAATCAACAACCACGGTTAAGCTACTGCTCTGATCTCAAGTTCTTCTAGTTCAGTTCTGTAGGGCGCGGCAACACACTCCCACACTCCTCACCAGCCACTCGCCAGATTTCCCTTTTTTTTCTTTTTTTCTTCTTAAAAAAAATGGGACACGTGTAGAATGTGCTCTGTCACCCTGGCTGGAGTGCAGTGGCATAATCTCAGGTCACAGAAACCTCTGACTTTCAGGTTCAAGCGATTCTCCTTTCTCAGCCTCCTGAGTAGCTGGGACCACAGAGGCGTGCCACCATGTCCAGCTAGTTTTTGTATTTTTTGTAGAGACAGGGTTTCACTATGTTGGCCAGGTTGATCTTGAACTCCTGACATCAAGTGATCCACAGTCTCAGTCTCCCAAAGTGGTAGGATTACAGGCGTGAGCCACCATGCCCTGCCCACCCCCCAGATTTCTTCTGTCATGGTCAATGATGCAGGTTGGAAGCAAGAGCTTCTCACTGCCTTTCAACTGGGAGAAGGTGTGACCAACTTTGGAGTATCCTTATGTAAGAAGATACAATAAAATTGATTATACAGAATTTTTACAGAAGATATGGCCCAATTTGCCAACCTTGAGGTTAAAGAAAAAGAAAAACACAGCAAAAACAGACTCTCCCATGTGGACAGAAGGAAATTTTCTTCGTTTGTGCAGGATGGGAAATGTTTCTGCTCTCCCTTTACTATGTCTTTACTATGTCTACTCTTCTTAGAAATGAGCAACAAGGTGTTGTAGTCACTGATTCTTCAAAGACCATGAGCTAGAGGAAAACACTTCATTTTCATTTATTCCATATCCTTCTATACATCCGCTCCTCTGTTTGACCAACATTTTGAATCGCCTACTATGTGTTCACCAGCAAACAAGGAAGAACCTGGCTTTTGTACTCAAACCAAGGCTGAAACCTCACTTTTAAACAAATACCAGACTTTTAAAATTATAACTGAGCTTTTGTTTCAGAATTGTCATCTTGGAAAATTATTAGGAATTTATTCTAAGAGGTCCTTTGTTCAACAATCTTCTGAAAGTCCCTTTAGAGATCAGCTCAAGAGTTTCTGAGCCACACCAAAAAAAATTAGTCTCATTATTTTCAGAACTTTACCAAAAAAGGTTTTTTCCCAGTTTGATCATCTATTTTCTTTCCCTACCTTGGCTCCACAGTCAAACCCACCCTTGGAGGGTGGGAACGTGCTGCCCAGGGATGAGAGGAGCTGGTGAGGGACAGGGGTTTGGCACAGGGTGAGAGTACTGGATATGCTTTTGACATATCCTTTGAGACAAGACAACTCTTATAAGTCCTATATGGTTGTTTTTCTAAAAAGTTACAGTGTTTTATAGGTCACTATGTGCTGACCTGCTCCATGTGGTCAAAATGCTTAGAAATGCTGCATAATCAGGCACCCTCTAGTGGAGTCACCTTGTACATTAGCATCTTAAGGGTTCTAAGAAGCCTTCCAGTAAAGGAAACCGTTTAAACTTAGTGTTTACCAAACTTAGAGGGCTCGCTGCTCTTCATGGAACACCTGTTATCATCCAACAGTTTTTGAAACATTTTTAGAGGACAGTCCTATAAATCCAGATTTTAATGAGAGTCGAGCAATATAGGAAGAGATTCCCTTCCTGCTGACTCATGTCTAGCAGACAAGTGTCTGCACATCCTTCTGCACTCCTCTGGGCTTTTCTTAAATGTGACCTCCTCTGAAAGACCTTCCCTGGCCATTCCTCTTTTGCTGCTCTCTGCTACAACTCTCTTTGTCCCAATCTGATTCTCGGTTTTGTCTGTTTTCCCACCGGAATGTATGCCCCATGAGGGCAGCAACTGATTTGCTCCTGTGTTCCCAGTACCTAGCACCACATATGTGACACACAGAAAAGATAAAACATGAGTTGGTTGGTTGGTTGACGCAACTGATGAATGGGAAGCAGTGAGCCCTTGTGGACTGTGGTGCAGCTGGACTCTTCTGCCCCATCTCCCATGCAGGGAATAGTACAGTTTTGCTTCTCTGGTCTACTGGATACTAGGAGAGCAGAGTTTACTCAGCAAAACAGTCCAAATAACCTGGTGATCATCCCAGAAGCCACAAGGCGATCCTGTCAATGAGGCCCAAGACTATTTTATAAAATATACCTAAAAGCAGGGTGGTACAAAATCAGATTCCTTAAAGCAACAGAGCCAATTCATCTGGGGCTTTTGGACAACCTCTCTTTCAGGAGTCCCGAGAGAGGGCTCTGGCAATCATAAAGCTCCTCCATATTCCCTCTAGGCCCAGACTTCTGCCAGGCCTACAGACAGAGCCCAGGATAAAGAGCCAAGGGTCTGGCCTGTCTTGAGGCCCACGGATGTGCGCTCTGCAGGTGGAATGGCCGCCCAGTGCTTACTTTGACTGCCCGCGGGTCCCGAGTCTTCTGGTCGTTAACTGAGGAAACTGCTGCCTTATGATCTGCAAGTCAACAGAAGAATCAGTTACCAACTGGGAAGAGTTGGGAGCACAGTGACTGAGTTTTACAAACAGCCACCTACAGAAGGGAGGAAAACATAGATCCTTGGTTGCAATGAATTATTAAAAGTCTGTGAAGACCCTGGAGAAGACTACTGGTGTCAGAGTAGGGCATGCTTGGATGGTTGTGGGGCTCTAGATACTAAGGGGGTCTCACTTGGCCACTCTGTGCTTCACCCCCTCCTACTTACGATGGAAGGAGAGTTCTAGTTGGTCCAGAACGTGCCACTCCCCTATTTAAAACCCTCCAATGGCTTCCATGGCACCTGGAACTAAAACCCACACTTAGCCTCTGTAACTCAAGCTGCTTACCTTCTGGTCTTCCTCTCTTACAGTTCTCACCTTTACTCACCAGATCCCAGCCACGCTGGCTTTTTATTGTTTTCTCTATTACAAATACACCGGCATTGCTCCTCACTGGGGGCCTTTGCACTTCAGCCAGGAGTGGAATTTCACTCAGCTCTTCACAAGACTGACTCCTCTTTTTTTGTTTCTTGTTTTTAATTGTACTTTAAGTTCTGGGTACATGTACAGATCATGCAAAATCGTTGCATAGGTACATACATGGCAAGGTGGTTTGCTGCCTTTATCCCCCTCATCACCTATATCTGGTATTTCTCACCTCATTATCCCTCCCCACCTTCCCCACCCACTCTGTCCCTCCCCTAGCCCCCCACCTACTGACTGCACTGTGTGATGCTCCTTTCCCTGTGTCCATGTGTTCTAATTGTTCAAGACTGCCTCCTCTTAAATCATTCAGGTGTCTAGACAATGTCCTTCTGCCCAGAGGCCTTCTCGGACCAGCCAGTGTAGAGTAGCACAAGGGTCGTATGGCCCTGCTTTGTCTTCTTATCACCTAGCACTATCTGAAGTTATCTTGCTCACTTGCTCTTTGGGTGCTTAGTTTATGTCCTCTATTCCTACTTGTACACATGCTCCATGAGAGCAGGGAACTCATACAGGGTTTGGCACAAGCGAAGACCTCAATCCATATTTGCTGAATGAAGGAATGAAAACTTGAAGGTATCTTTTATCTGTCTGCAGAGAAGAGGATGATAATCGCTGTTGCTCCAGAAAACCACACCAATTCACAAGAAATCCGGGAAGAGAGAGCATCTCTCAAGGTGAAGACATAACCATGGGGCCCCTTTCCTTGGGATTTATAGAGATGACGTTTGTGGAGAGGTATGACAGTGCAGGGGTTACTTGCAGGAACTCTGGAACTCGACTACCTGAATTAAATCCAAGCTCAGTCATTGGTTAAGCTGGGTGCCCTTGGGCAAGTTATTTAATAGCCATGTGACTCAGTTTCCCCATTTGTAAAATGGGAATGATAATAACCTCTAGAGAATCATTATGAAATTTTAAAAAGTGAATGTATGTAAATAATTTGCAGCAGTGCCTGGCACTTAGTAAGTACTTACAAAATGTTACCCATTATTACCACTGATTGTCCAGATGACCCTTTGGGATTTTTCAAGTGTAACCAAAGTCTTCCAGAATCCCTTCCCTCCTGGTAAGCGTTGAGCAGGCATGCATGGTCAGAGGGAGCAAGCCTTCATGAAAAGAGATGTTGTTGCTGATTTCTTATTGGTAGGACATAAGACTTGAGAGCTTTCTCTAGGGATGGGGATGAATGTCTCTATTGATCCATTCACCCCTCTTTTATCCACACCAATACTTTCATTGATTGATTTACTCATTCACTCAGCAAATATGGACTGTGACCCTATTAGCTGTTTGAAGTTGGACACCCTATTTAACCTCTCCATGCCTGAATTTCCTCCTGTGACATTTGAGGTCTAAGGGAGTTGTGTAGTTTTCCCCTAATTGGAGGGCTAGGTGTTGGTCATCTCAACTAAAATGGCATCAGTGGGATGGAAACAAGTGCACAACTTAGTGAGAAATTGAGAACCTTGAACAGATAGCATGAAGACTGAGCATTTCTCTACACTGGGGAGCTGACCATCTCCAGTGTAGAGAATGGATGGGCCAGCACTTCGGCATCTGAAAATGGTTGAAAAAAGATGCACTTCACAAGAATGTTTAGAGAATCTAATGCAATCGCATCACGAAACCACTTTGGAAGTAAAAGGGGCTTTTAAAATATCATCTTGTGATCGTACTGAAAAAATGATGCAATAATTCTCTGAATTCTTTAAGGGTACCACTTTGTAGGCAATAAATCCCATCTCTTTAACCCTGACTCCTGTAAACTGAGGATCCAAGCTTCTTACTTTGTTTATGTCCCTCTCAAACTGTTGTGACCTGATTAAAAGGCAGTCATTCAAGATGGGGTCGGTAACAGTGCTCTTTAAACACTTTGTCTAGCAGTGCAGCCCAAGACTGCAACCAGGTTTAGTGGCCTCATCACCGTGGGTTTATATTAACCTGCGGCCAAGCCCGACAGACTTTCTTCATATGAATGCCTTCAGAGCCAGGATTTGAAGCAGCTGTTCACAAAGCAACACTACTGAACAGACATAGACATGCTGATAGAGATAGAAAGAAAACAAGGAAAATTGAGCCAGGGGATTTTTCACATTGGTTTCAAGTGAGTTCTGAGTTTCCTAACCACCCAAGAGAAGAAGATAATACAATTGAGTCAGAAGAATTCCACTATCAATATAAGTGCATATTAGTTGCTTAGAAAAAGCAGAAGTATTCATGTTTAGGTCTGAAAATTTTCTCCTATACAAATGAACACAACCACTGAAGCAAGGTATCATGTTTTTGTTTTTTGTTTTTCTGAGACAGAGTCTCACTCTGTTGCCCCAGCTGGAGTACAGTGGCATGTCTCGGCTCACTGCAACCTCTGACCTCCTGGGTTCAAGCGATTCTCCTGCCTCAGCCTGTTGAGTAGCTGGGACTACAGATGCACACCAACATGCCTGGCTAATTTTTATATTTTTAGTAGAGACAAGTTTTTGCCATGTTGGCCAGGCTGGTCTTGAACTCCTGACCTCAAGTGATCCTCCCACCTCAACCTCTTGAAGCGCTGTGGTTACAGGTATAAGCCACTGCATTTGGCTAGTAAGGCGTCATGTTTAACCCTCTGTTATTCATAGATACTTCGAAAAGGATAATATTTAGTGCTGTCAAAGCCGTAGTACAACTGGAATACTCAGATGGCTGATGATATCATTTATTAGTACACCCTTCCCCAAAGCATTTTAAAAACATGTAAGAAGCCCTAAAATACTCATATTTTTCATCTATTAATTCCAAGGCAATAATCTAAAATAAGAAAAAGCTAAATGTGTGGCTACTAATGACAGTGAAGAATTTGAAACAACAAATGTCCAATGATAGAAAATTGTCTAAAAATATGATAGTGTATATACATCCCATGGAAATTATGAAATAATTGCCATTACAATTGATGGTAACGAAAACTATGTCATAACACAAAAAATGTTTATAATGTTAAATGAAATGGCAGAACTTAATCTATGTTTATGTTAGAGTTATATAACGGAATTGTTTCCAGAAATACAGGAATGAACAGGTAATGTGGAAAAATGAAAATGGATATTTGTTAGGGTATTGGGATTGTGGGTAGAACAGAAAGGGTTTGTATATTCATGTACTAAATCAACTATTTTTTTGCAAATAGAAAAGGATTTATTAGGAATGACAGTGAAAGTTCAAGATAATCTTGGAAGAAACACCTAAAATCTACCAGAATGTTATAGTGTTTTTCTTTCTTTCCTTTTTTCTAAAAAAAAAAAAAAAATCATTTCCTATTTTCTGTAACCAATAGGTAGATAATTAAAGAAAGAAGCATTGTATTGTTTGGTTGCTAAGCCTTATGATAACTTGATTTAAGAGACGGGGCTAAGTTCTGAAATCTTTCTAAGTGTTTATCCAAATGGTATCCTACGTTAACATCTATAAAGCGATACAGGCCAAGCCCCTGATTCCTGGCCCTAGGTTAAGGTACCAGGGGTTGCCAACTGTGTTCTAGAGATGTAACAGATGGCCCTGGGAAATGAGTGGCCTTCTGGGGTCACTTGTTCTACCTCTGCGAGGCAGTAACATGTACAATCAGTGCGTTTGTAATTCTATGCACTGTGATGTTGAGGCATTATCAAGCCATAGCATGGGGCCTAGGAATTCACAGATCAATTTAATCTGTGACTCTCTTCATTGCTGATGGTTTTTACTTATTCTTTTTGAACAATGTATAGATCAATAGATGCAGTTTTAGCATCTGTGTGACCAGCTCAACCACCACTGAGTTACCTAAGACAGAACAGGAGAGTCCTCCCTGACTCCTCTTTTCCTAACACTGCATAATCATGGGTCCTGTTGATTCTGGCTTCAGGACATCTCCTAAACCTGGCCCCTTCTCTCTGTCTTCCCTTATCCCCGCTACTGCTCTAGCCCACTATCATCTCCCACTGCTTGGACCACAGAAACATTCTTCTAACTGGTTTTCCTGCCACCAATCTTGTTGCCTCACCAGTGGGATTTGTTTTTTAGAGACAGGGTTTCGCTCTGTTGACTGGGCTGCAGTGGTGGTGTCATCCTAGCTCACTGCAGCCTTGAATTCCTAGATCTGAGAGGTCCTCCTGCCTCAGCCTCCAGAGCAGCTAGGACTATAGGTACATGCCACCATGCCAGGCCTTCAGCAGCAGGATCTTCCTAAAATGCCAGTATAATAATTTCATTTCCTCATTGAAAATATTGAGTGTCTTCTTGCTGCCCACTCTGAATAAAAAGCCAGGCTCCTCAGGCTGGTCCATGAGGCCCTCTGTGATCGACTCCTGCCCAGCTGCCCAGCCTAAAATCCAGCCACTTATCAGAGCTTGACGCTCATTTTGGCCCCACATCCACAGTCCTGTTCCCTGTGCCTGGAAGGCCAAGGCCACACTGTTTCTACCCACACCCAAGGAACTCCTAGCTTTCTCTGAGCCTCTCCCACTTGCCCTGTAGCCCTTCCCATGCAGCTTTAGCTGCCTCCTTTCTGTTTTCCTAGTGAATTGGGAAACAATGGTAAACAGTGATTAGGCACACAGGCTTTGGAGTCGGGTTCACCCGGGTTCCAGTCCTGGCTCAGGCACGGTGCTAACCACTTTACATGTATTATCTCAGTTGATCATCATAACAATCCATTGCCAGGTTCCACTATTTCCCTCTGTATAGATGAGGAAACTGAGGCTTGGAGAGGCTAAGCAACCTGCACAAAGCCACGCAGCTCAGATGCAGATCTGCGATTTGAATGCATCCAGTCGGACTTAACACTCTACCACCATGATGCTATGGCTTCTGGATGAATGAAAGTGTCCCCAAGCCTCACATTCCTTCCTTTACCAGCAAACTTTATTTCTTTTATGTCATATTCCTGCATTTACACATTACATGTGTTTGAGGAACGAAATGATTTCTCGTTCTCATCAACTCTTCAGTGAAGATTTCTATTCTCCGCACTCTGACCCTCTTGGACATGTTCTGGTGGCCACTGTTATGAACAGGATCTGAGGGCTCTGCACCTAATAGGCTAGGGAAGGTGGAAAGCAGCTGAGGGGATGGTAACATTAGCAGGCAGCCCATGTCTCCTCCTGAATGAAATTTACCCGCATCCACTCAAGTGGCAATCTGGCAGTGAAACACTACTGCTTAATAAAATGCTAAGCAAAACATCATTCTCTTTGCACAATGCAGGTCCCCAAGTAGGTTTACTGAGGGAATGATCCAGATCATTACCTCTCTACCTAGAGGCCTCTGGCAATTCTCTATGGCCACCTGACTTAGCAGAGGTTCCTTTGATTGAAACTCAGACACCACTCTTTGCTTCCATCTTTTCTCTCTAAATTTCCTTAGATGAACTCGAGGTTCTGTCCAAGTCAGACTACTTGGTGTTGCACTATTTCCTGAATGCTTCCCAGGCCCATACCTCTGCACCTTCTACCCTCAACTCTCTCTCCTTCCTCACTACCTGTGCCTTCAGAGCCCATCCAGCCACCCAGTCTGCCCTCCACTACTATGTGAGCCTTTCCCCATTGCCTGACCACACCAGAACTCACCCTTCCCCAAACCAGAAGCTAGAGTATGTGCCACTTCCAATCTGTGACCGAGTTCTACCCCCATCTTCATCTCCTGATTCTACCCCATATCCTCCCATCTCCACCTATCCCAGGACCATGGTCTTGCACCTGGATTGCTTCAGTGGTCTCGTTGGCCCTGCTTCCTGTCATGCCCTATCACAACCACTTCATGAAGCCTCTAAACAAAACCCACATCCATCAGGTCCTGCCTGATTGGCCCCACCTTTGTTCCAGCTTAGCTCTCCCACTCCTCTCCCAATTCCTATGTTCTGGCCATACGGAATGGAACTTCTTCCAAGTTTCATGAACACATTGTGTTCTGTCTTATTCTGGCCCTTCCCACAGGATGTTCTTATTGTCCAGAGCCCTCTCTTCACTCTCTTTTTCTGCCTAATG